AAATAAAAACATTTCTATCAATAGACTTTTTAGCATATCTTCTCAGTGCTTCAAATGCCAAATGTATAAGATTCCCCTCAGTAATTCAATTATTCTATTCTAATTACTCAATTATTCTACAAGCTGGTCTTTATGAGAGAAGTATTTATTCTTTCAATCTATATGTCAACTAACTCCTATTGTTCCTATATTTTAATACAAAAAATATAAAAAATTTTTTGCCAATAACTAGATGTATATTCTCAAACAAATTAATCTTTTTGGACCTTAGTTTTCTCATATGTAAAAATTAGGGAGAAAGGCAGGGGGTGAAGAAAGACAGCAACTAGACCAAAAGAACTTGGTAGTTCTCATGTTTTTATTCCTGTAGGGCTGCTGAGCTAATATAAAGGGTCTAGGAATTCACACAAGCACCATGAATTGTCTGTATAACAAATACAAAAATAGTTTCCACTTTACATAGTAAAAATTTCACATGTATGCAGATAATGTGATTTGTAAATACATTTTATATTAAAATAAAATTTTTAGGCCTACAGAAGCTTATATTATCATGCCTGTAATCCCAGCACTTTGGGAGGCCAACGTGGGAGGATTGCTCAAGGTTAGTTCAAGAGCAGCCTAGGGAATATAGTAAGACTGTGTCTCAACAAAAAATGTTCTCTATTAGCTGATACTAAATGTAGAGCTACTATAGCTACTATTATTTGGAGGCATGAATTGTTTAACATTTCAAAAGGACTCTTGGTTGAGTCCAGCCTGGATAACGTAGTGACAACTTGTTTCTAAACAAATAAATAAAAAGGGTTCTTATATTTGAAAATGTAAGGAGCTACCAGCATAGATAGTTTCTAAAATTCTTCTTAGTCTAAAAGCTATAATTTAGAGTCCATTATTTCTTTATCCACTGTTGAATGTAACAGTTAAAGGTTATTAGCTGTAATTATCACAGTTTTTAACAAGTTAAAATTCTTTACAGATCTTAAATAAAAAGCAGGTAAGAAATGTGTTCTAAAACGTTGTGTGGGAGAAAAAATAAAGCATGTAAGAAAAAAAAAGCCAGTTGGATAAATTACTCAGGGCGTGAAAATTGTAATTGATGTAATACTTATAATATTAAATTAAATAAAAAGCAAAATTATTCATTGCAGATGACTAATTTCACATATTGCAAATGAGTAATTTCATATACCTCCTTAAGATAATGACATTCACTAACAAAATGAATAATCTTACTTGAATAAGCATTAGACAGAATAGTAAAAATCTTCATAGGTTCAAACCTTAACCTACTATTAGGACAGACTATGAATTGTTTAATTCAAATTACTACATGACTAGATTCCTGAAAATGGACATGCAAGAAATCCCTGAGAACAGCGTACACTATAAGAACTATTAAAAACAGTGAATGTGGTTTGGTACATGGCTTACACCTATAATCCCAGTACTTTGGAAGGCTGACGCAAGAGGATTGTTTGAGGCCAGGAGTTTGAGATCAATCTGGGAAAGATGGTGAGATCCCATTTTTACAAAATATTTTCAAAAATTAGTCAGGTGTGGTAGCCTGTGCGTATAGTTCTACCTATTCAGGAGACTGAGGTGCGCGGATCACCTGAGCCCAGGAGTTCAAGGCTACAGTGAGCTACGGCTGCACCACTGCACTCTAGCATGGGCAAATGAGTGAGACCCCGGCTCTAAAAAAAAAAAAAAAAAGTTAATGAATATACTTCTTCTGATACTAAATATGCCAGGATTTAGAATGTAATATTCAGTGATTACAAGTGTAAAGGCAAAACACAAAGAAATAACCAACAATTCCTCTGCAGCTTTCTACTAAATTTTACTTTGCATTCCCTGAGACTATGTCTTTTCTTCTCAAACATCCCACAATGCCAACCACTGCTTCCAAAAATACCCAAATTCTGCTTCGTGATCCGCCAACAAAACAGAAGCCAAAAACAGAAGACAGGAATTTGTTACCTTTCAGCTATGAGATCTATCTGCATTTGTGCCTATTTTCTTCCCTTTCACAACTGTTAAAATGTCTATTTTCCAATTTTAGCACTGCGATGTAAAAGCTACCACTTTTTTTCTTTTCAGATTTCATTCCTCTCATTGGCTCCTTCTTTTACATTATCAATCTCACCTTCTTTACTAAATTCATTACCAAAAGATTACAAAAATGCTGTAGAATCACCCAAGCTAAAGAATCCCTTCAGGTTGGAACCCGTGGCTCACACCTGCAATCCCAGCACTTTGGGAGGCTGAGACAGGTAGACTAAGAGGTCAGAAGTTCAAGACCAGCCTAGCCAACATAGTAAATCCCTGTCTCTACCAAAAAAAGAAAAAATTAGCCAGGTGTGGTGGCAGGCATC